GCGCACCTGGAAAACTTCAAGAAAAGGTTCATTTTTGCCACTTTCATGCGCGCAAAAGCCCGGATATGGGTTTCTCATGCCGAGAAGGTCTCGAAAAGGTGAAAAACTGGAGAACGGATTTCTGCCGAGCCGCTGCCTTTAAGTACATTCTCTTAACAAGCATGAGTAGCACGCTCTTTTCCTTGCATACGCGCAAACGCTTGACCTCTTGCAGGGATATCGCACAAGTGTTTGATGAATGGCGACGTTTGTCAACTAATTACGTGACAACTTGTGCTTCCGACCTCATTTGGGAGGGACTGCTCGGTCTAGCTGATAATCCGAAGAAACAAGCATCATTGGCTGGTATGTTGTTGTGTGTGCCATCGAGACCAAATTGCCATGTTTGTTATTCTTTTCCTTTTAAAGGCAAGTTACTATCGCATTGTCTGCAGTATGAACATCCGTCGGCTACCGTAGCAAATCTGATTACTACACTCGTTCGAACAAAACATCTGAATTCTGCTAGATTAGTTTTTCTGAAGGTATGTTATTTTTCAAAGGTTGCAGATTTGATTAGTTGCCTCAGTATAGGTCTCTGTTCCGGGAAAGTTCTTCAAGAAAACGCTCCAGAGTTCGGCGTATCATGAGGTAATGTTTTTTTTTCTATTCTTGATACATTTTTTTCTCAATGTGTTTTGTTTGCAGCACACTCTACAAAATGTCGAGGACTTTGCTAGTTTAGTCAGCGATTGCATGTTTGCGGAAAAGAAGAGGACGAAGAAGCCTTTGATACTGCAGGTATGTCATTGGTAGTGCGACTAAAGCTCTGATTGTTTCCCCTTGCGCGGAATTTTCTTCTCTTCTTGTATTTTCTCCGACGCTTTCCCGTAATCAGTGCTCACAAGCCAGATATGCTTCTTGTGATACATATCCATCAGTCTCGTGCCTGAAAGCGGCATATCAGTGAAACTGCATAAAATATGATGCTCAGATCCGCCAACGCGCTTTCTTTTTTCATTTATTTCGCATTTTCTCTCGCTGTTTGAGATATTGTCTACTCGCTTTCATTACTTTTGATTCGATTAGTGGATCTATTTGCTGTCATCTCTTATCTAAGCAAATCAGAGGTACTTTGATTTCAGTCTTCTGTGCTAACGCCTGAATTGCTCCTGGTGCTCGACTCCTTCTGTGGAGTTTCGAAACGAAAGCAATCAAAATATGTGGCCAAAAATGATAAAAAGAAAATTCATCGTGTGAACGATGTACAGCTTTACGAACTCTCAGAATTTTTGCAGAATCTTTGGTTGAAGGAAGCAGGTATATCTATTTTCCAAGTCACCGCTATCAAGGTTCCCAATAATACATTGTTTTAGAAAAGTCTTCTGACCATCATGCAGTGGATAGAATGCTTGCTTGGAGCATGTCTCATAAACTAGAGATTACACCCAAGATGGCGAAGCAGATTGCCGATATCAAATCGAGGACGAAGCCACCAAAGTCTGGCTGAAGATTTTGAGATGTGTTTCGATTACTTTGAGCTGCTCAATCGACGGTTTTCCAAGCTCACACTCAGTAGTTAGTTGTTTAGGTACTTGTTGATTGTTACGCTGTTGTTCTGTTAGAATATAGGTTAGAAATAGAAGTCAAATTTTGCCGTTACATGCTGCAGAGTTTATTATCTGTAATGTTGTTAACGCATCTTGATCTGATTACTTTGTGTATACACCGCCAATCGACGTTAGACGTGTTATGAAGATGAGCCTACAGTAAATTGTCGGGACAAAAAGCATTGTTCTTTCTGTTGAACTAGAGATATTTCAATCTTTTCCCATACCTTATGCTTACCGTTTATAAATGACAAGGAATTAGTGCTATTGTTTAGACGAATGCTTGCGTCAAAGAGGATACTTCTGTTTCGGTAAGATTGTTTTGTTTGATAAATTCTTATAATTTCACTTGGGTAGGGACCGACTGAGAATTACATGAGCTTTGGCTACCATAAATTTACAGTGTTTTCCCCATAAAGGCATTGTCCAGACAAAAAGTCGACCGAAATTTTGTGCCTATCCAGGCCTCATCCTCACGGTGAATTTACACTCCAAACTTCCAAAACGATCTCGATTTCGCTAGCCAACCTGTCTCTATCGGCCTAGTGCGAACGAGTTTGAAGTCGGAATCAGGAAGAAATCGCTTCGGAAGCTGGGAGCGTAAATTTACAGTAGGGAAAACCCCGCCCACCTGCTGATTTCCGTCCTACGTTAGAGGCTTTTTTTT